GGGGCTGCGTGGCCACGGGCAGAGCCACCGATGCAGAGCCAGCGACGCCATGTCCTTGCCAGAATCACCCCAAAAATGAGGGATGTGACACATGGGGATCGTCCCCCCTGAGCTGCCTCCATGGGGGGCTCTGGGCTTCCCAGGAGGAGCTGGATTCCTGCTCACACCCGGGAATCACTGCCTGGTCCTGGAAGCACCCAGAGCCAGGCCAGGGGGTGTTGGGGTAGCTGGAAGCTGATAATTAACTGTTGTCAATAAATGAGGTGTGGAAGCAAAGGCTGCTCGGAGCAGGGGGACCCCCCAGCCTGGCAGAGCCGAAGGTGCCAACACCGGGAACCCCTGACCCCATGGAAGAGGGGACACGGGGGTGCCCGTCACTGGTGCTGCCACCCCGGGGTGCCCTCCCCATGTTGCTGGGTGCGGCCGAGCCTGAAGTCAACAGCAGCAACCACTTCCCCGCCGGATGGTGCCGAGTGCCGGAGTCCACCCCCCCCCCGTTTGCTCTGTTTGCTCTGCCCCAGCTCACAGCCTGCTCTTTGTCCCCAGATCATCTGGGATCCTGCCCCAGACGGAAGGGAGGGAGAGCAGGGAGGTGCCAGCATGGATTCGGTGCCCATCCCTGTGGTATCTGGGCTCCCGGCGCCGGGATGGGTGGGAGACAGCAAAGCCTCATCCCAGCAAAGCCCTCCCCCTGCTCCTCCCTGGGACACGGAGCTGCCACCTCGTGTTGTCCCACTGAGGTGACACTGTCACCCGTGCTCCCACCGTGGCGGGGCGGGCCACGCCTCAAACAGGGCACGGGGCGTGATGAGCCAGCTCCCACCACCCCAGTGGAGTCAATGTTCCCACTGTCCCCTCTCGCTGCCACCCACCCCCATGGGATCCCCATCCATGGGGCACGATCCTGCCCCAGGTGCCAGTGACCGGGAGAGCAAACACAGAGCCAGGGAGGGCGAAGGTGACAGGGGGACATGACCCAGGGGACCGAGGGCTGCGGTACCCCACGGGGCCGGGAGTCCCCTGGCTG